GGCGTGACTCCTCCCTCGGAGAACTATCAGGACGGGCGAAGGACGGGGCAGCCGGCTCCTTGTCTGTGCTCTTGGCATTAGATAGAAGCTTCCGGAACGGTCAGGAGAAATAACGGCCACCGTTGACATGGCGTCTCAGTTTCCCAAGCATTTCCTAGCTCGGTCATTCCATCCTTACCACCCCTTCAAAGGAAGCAGGGGAGCTGTTAGGGTTCATATTTTGTAGCTGGAGAAACAGGCCTGGGAAATTTAACTAATTTGCCAAGGTCTCAGGCCCAGTTCTGATTTATTTTTTCAGTTATTGTTTAAAGAAAGAGATTGACCTGGTGCAAGATGAGTAAGTGGCTGGGTTGATATTTCTATCCATGTCTCTTGAGTCCAAAATGACAGGCTTCCCAGTGATTTTAATTTCGACACCCGCTCACTGATCCTATGACACGTCGATGTCCTGGCAAGGACACAGGATATATTTTCTCCAGGAGTTAACGCGAATTGAAACTTACCTGATTTGGCAATCTGCACCTTTTAGACGAAAGGTTTCTCTCATTCGTTCATCATTCATTCATTCGCATCGCGCAGTGACGGGGCTGCTGGAGAGACAAAACTGTGTGGAAAAGTGACACGTGTGACCTCCGACCTCATGGTCTCTGCCAAAGAAAATTGTCGTCTCAATCTATTGAGTTTGGGACACGGATTGTTGACATAGCCATAAACAACCGAGACGGAATTCTAGGGCCTGGTCGTTCTTCGGGCATGAAGCCCTCTCAGGCGCCCTCAGTCCCGTGCTGAGTGTTATCTGTGACTCGGGAGGGCGAGCGGGCCGACGGTCCCCATCCCCTTTAGCATGCCACTGCTTTGTATGTGGGCCCTGCCCCTTTAATTTTAAGAACCGTAAAACATTCTGGAAACTGTCTAATGGAAAACGGAACCAGGTGATTCTCCTCCGTACCTTGTGAACAATTGCCCTGCGTCTGAGAGTTCCTTGGAGGGGCCTTCTCGTCCCTCCCGCGTCTGAGCTCATCCGGGCAGCCCCGAAGTGAAATGGTGGCGAGGTGGGTGCCGACCCCAGGTGCCACTAGGCTGGGATCTGCGGAAGGGCAGGGTCCATCCTAGTGGGGCCCGTCTTTGCGGCCTTCCCCCCATTCTTCTGAGGGAGTGGCTCTTCTGCGTGTGTTCTTTTTCGGGGAGCGATAAAAACCGAACTGCTGATGCAGGCAGCAACGGAGGACTCCCAGCCCAAGGCTTGTATCACTTTTCTCTGCCCACAGAAAATAATTTCCCATGAAACCTCCTCTCTGGCCAAGGCCTGTCCCCTTCTTGGCAGGGGAGGGGGCTTTCTTTTCTGCTGACTTTAGAATAAATTCAGATTTCTGCCTCCGGGTTTTGGGGCGCGCGGCTCCAGCCTCCTTGAATCCCAGCGTATGTGGAGGTCCTTCTGCTCTCATCCTGCTGCAGCGTGATCACTTCCCCGCCGATGGCTTGGCACCGTCTGGAGGGCGGGGGGCGGCGGCTGTGCTTCCGAATGTGGTGTATTTAACCCGCGATCTGACACCTGGAGTGAGAGATGCTGAGTCAGATTGGGTAGAGCTGGCGTGCCATTCCCGGAGCTCGCCAGCCTCGTGACTGGTTCTAGGCACATTAAGATGCCCCTGAGCCTCAGTTTCTTCGCGGGTAAAACGGAACTTATGGATAACGTCTGCAAAGCACCGGGCAGCGCATGGGGCCCACGACAGATCCAGAAGCGACCACAACCATCACGATGAGGATGAATGACGACAGAGGTGAAGATTTCAGGGGGGGCCTGGCTTCTCAGACAGGGCCGGCGAGCGGTGGGTTTCGTGCAGAAAGTTCTTGCCACGTGACCACAAAAGCCAGTCGCTCCCAAAACACTTTTCCCGGTGGCACCTGAGAAGAGCCTTTAAAAAAATTAACCACATGCACGGCAAAGCGATCAGACTCCAGGATTCTCCCGCGCTCCCTCATCTGAACTGAAATTTGACTCTTTGCAGAGAGGAAAGGTGAGGGCACCAATTTTTCTTTCCGTTCTAAAGCAAAACTCCTCCGAGGCCAGGCGCTATACATAGAAGAGTGTAATGATGCTTTCTTGAAGCCTCAGGTAAAATAGGAATAATGCTGATTGGTTGAAATTAAAAATAAATCAAGTGTGGAGAAGCTGGGCCTGAGGGAGGCCAAGCACGTGGGCTCTGAGTCGCTCATCTGGGTTTGAGTCGAGACCTCCTACGGGCTACGCACACAGTTTGGGACGAGTCGCTTTACCTTTCCATACCTCAGTCCCTCCACCTGTGAAGTGGGATGATAATTCCTGCCCCTTGTGGGACAATGTATGAACAGTGTGCCTGGCACAGAGTGCAGATGCCAGGGTCAGTCTAAGGGAGAGCTGGGGAGGAGCTGGTGAACTTCCCTGCTTGGACCAGGCCACTGAGCCGTTATGCTGGTGGCATCTGCCGAAGGGTCAGCCTGGAAGAACAGGCAGCCAGGCCCCAGGGGAGTCTCAAAGGTGAGACCAGAGAGAGAGCTGTGGGGGCCTCGCTAATGGCCACGAGGCTGGCAGTTCCAGGCCCAGTGCATGGAGTTCAGTCTCTTCTTGGCCTGGGTGACTCAGGTGGGGTTTTGGACCCAGGCTTTCTCCCTCTGATGGAGGAGAGCGCCAGGTGGCCTTCACCTGGTCCACCTCCCTGTAAACTGAATATCCGGCATTTTAAAAGGACTCACAGCCCACCCTCTCTGCACTGGACGTCCAAAGCACTCCCAGACAATAACCCTACTCGAGTGGAAGCCATTTATTTAAAACCTTTATCAATGCTTGGAGGAAAGAACGCCCTGTGACAATGGACAGATCCTGCCGCCTAAATCCGCAACAGAAACAGCTGTTGTGACTTAGCGAGCTCACGTGGTGCCAGTTCTGGGTTCGGGCGAGGTTCCTCTTCCTTAGGAAACGGGCCCTGGCAGCCTCGTTTCTCCAAGGCGTAGTGAAGCCTTTTACTTGATTCGAGTTTAAGTTTGTCTCTTTCCGTGTGCATGTGTGTCAAAGCACGACCACAGCGTTTTCTGTTTGTTTAGTTTTGGGTGTCAGCGTTCGTTGGGTTAGACTCAGTCCTCTCGTTTTCAGAAGAACGGGGCTATTTATTGATACAAAGGAGGGGTGGTTCGCATCGTCTTGTTAAGATGCAAAGCTGAAAATAAACATCGGATCTTTATTTGGAAATCCACATCCTTCCTCCGAGGCAGGCCCCTGGGGAAAGCTGTATGGCTTTGCTCACAGTTTCGATGGCACAAAAGCCTCTGCCACCGCTCACGGGAATGTGGACTTGCCCTCAGTTTTGAGCAAAAGAACCTTAGCAACAAACCCTACTCTATACTAGAACATCAGGGACCAGAATTAAATGCGGTCCACCTGACTTTCAGGAAGAAGCGAACCAGGAGCGTGAAGAATCTACAAGAGAGATTAGTGAAGGGGTTGCCACGAACACAGGAAGCGATTTTATGCCTCAAGGAGAAAACAGTGCAGTTATAAATACAAATGACAACTATTTAGAATAGGAGTGATACATGGGGCGTGTTTACACTGAGAGGAACATGGAAGTGATGCCTTCCACACACGCAGCCCAGGAGCCGGCCAGCGAATGAACAGCTGACCCAGCAACCCAGGAGAATGTCTCTGCTTCCGAGTGATGTAAGTACAACACTCGGCGTGCTGCAGTGGCCCGTGGCATGGAGGAGACAGCCACGGTTTGTGCTCGGTTCCCATGGCAGAGCCCGACACAGCCCTCCTCCTCCCGCTGGTGCCGGCGGGCGGAGCTGGGTGACTGCTCTGTCTCCTGCTTTCTGCAGCTCCAGCTCCTTCCAGGTGCTTCTCCTCCCCGCCCCCTCCATCCCTGGCACTTTGTCGCCCTGCCCCCAATGCCCGAGTGGCTTCTTTCCAGCCCGGGTCAGGAAAGACTGTGGGGATGACCCTCCGGCCCCACGTCCTGGAGGTGACGAGGCCAGATTTGGGGGACATAAATACTAGCCATGTTTTGGGTAAGGATGTTTCTCCAGAGCAAGTCGTTTTTAGAGTAGACAAGTTTGGCTTCTTTATCTCTGGCCTCAGGTTGCTCCGAGGGAGAGCAAGGAGCTGATCGAAACAGAGGACGCGTTCTTTCTGGCCCTCCCGCTAGAGCAGGAGTCAGCAATCTCAGGCCCCAGAGGCAAGCTGGGCGCCTGTGAAAGGGTCCCGGCATGGGGCCAGGCCTGTTTGTGATGTGCTGTCTACGGGTGTCTGCTTTTGTGCTAAGATGGCAGAGTCGGGTCGGGTGGCTGCGACAGGAACCCCATGACGTGCCAAACTGAGAACAGCGCATTTACTCTCTGGAAGACCTTGTGACCCTGCTCTGGAGGGGACCTGGCCCAGAACCCTCGTCCCCCTGCCCTCCTTGCAATCCTGGGCTCCTAGTGGAGTGTTGGCTGCAAGAAAGAAGAACCTTTAATTTGATACCGATGAGGAGAGAAAAAGAGAAGGCCTGAGTGAGAAACGCTGGAAGTAACGGGAAGAAATCCTCCGCCGACACCCTGTCCTCCTCCCCCTGCTCCCCGCCTTCCTTTTCTCCACCGACTCCTGGTTGCTCAATGTCCAGCCCGGAGCTGAGAAATCCCGCCCCTCAGTGATTTCCAGCTGTTGCCTCCACGCACGTGAAAGGCCGGCATTCTCGGATGGGAATTACTAGTGGCCTTTCTTCCCTTGTCCCCTTTCCACCCTCCAGGTGACCTTGGCCGATGGTCAAGGTGACGTGATGAGATGCTGAGGGGTCTGTCAGGCATCGTCCTGGCACGTGCACCTTCCCCCAGGTGTGAGGCTCGCCCCACGTGGCTCCGAGCCCCCGCCAGGCAGTTATAGAATTCCTTTTAAAATAACACTTAAAAAAAAAAAAAAAAATCAGCCTCCCAAAGATGTACCGTTTTTGTTTGTGTTACCTCTGAGCTGGTTTTAATGACCCAGTTGCTTTGTTTGAAAGCCATTTATTTAGAAGACAGATATATAGATAGAACTGGATAAATAAAAAAGTGAAACCAAGAAATGAAGCAGTGGTTAAAATACAAACAGGGGGCCACTCCCTCAGACAGGGAGCCCCCCCGGACAGAACAATGGCTCAGAAGTGACACTTAGCAAACCCCCCCACCCCCCACCAAGCAGCTCCAAACCTCAAGAAAGCGAATTTCTATCTGGCACCAAGCGCCCACAAAGCCCCTGCTTCCTCTCACCCTTTTGCCCCGGAAGCTGCGGGGCGGGCCCATCGCCAAGTGCGTGGTCCAGGCCCTGCTGCCCCCACCCCGGCCCACTGTCCCCCCAGCAGAGGAAACCGCGGGCCGCCGCCCAGTGGCTCCATGGAGGGACAGAGACAAAGTTGCAAGGACGCATGGCACATTCGCTCAGGAGGAGTGAGCGTGGTGCCCGCCGGGCCCAGCTGGGACCTCGCTGCTGCTCAGGGGGTCCCCCGCCTCGCCTGTGTGAATTCTGCTAACAGACACCGTCATCGAGTCCACGATCCCCACCAAATCCTGCGTGTGACATCCCCCCTCTTTAATGGCAAATGTTTTGGAATGTCCATAGAGAAGAAAATGGACGGCGTGGAGGAAAGATTCCCCGGGCGGGCCTTTTGTTTCACCTCCGGATATCAGAAAACTCCGACCGGTCGTCCTCCCACTCACTGCTTCTGGAGGCTCCCTGGGCCCCGCGGCCGGCCGCTGCGCCCTGGGCGTGGGCGCTTGGCTGGCCCCGGCTGCCTCGCTCGCCCTTGGCGCTCCGGCCGGTCTCCCTGCTGCTGGGCTCCGAGGCGTGGTGACCTGCTTCCCCGTGGCTGGTCCTGGAGACCCTGGCTTTGTCCACCTGCAGCTGCTGCTTGGGGGCCGCCGTGGGGGGCCTCTGCACGGCCGAGGTGCAGAAGCTCAGGATGGAGCAGAGGCTCCCCCAGCTCTGCTCGCACTGAGTCTGCACGCTGTGGGTGATGGCCTCCCTCACGTCCTCCCCACAGGTCAGCAGCAGGTTCACGAGGTCCATGTACGGCCTGGAGGTTGGGAGCAGAGAGAGGCACTGAGCACGGAACTGGTCCCGCATGGGCCTCAGGGCAGGGACCGCGCCAGGAAAGAGAGGTGGGAGAGCCAGAGCTCGGCTTTCTGGAATTGCTCCCAGCCTTTCCCCGTGTTCTGCGGGGCACTGGCCTCAACCCCCGCTCACCGTGTGGCCACTACGGATGAGGCTCCGTGCCAGGCAGTGGAGAGAGACGGAGGCTCGGGACAGAGCCCACCCTAAGAAAAAGGGCCCGTGACAAGGCGTGGGTGCGTATGATGAAGGAAGATCTCTGGGGACAGGGTGGTGAGGGTGCCAGCTCAAACCGTGCAGAGGACGGGAGAGCGTGGGCGTGTCTGGGGTGGGCCTTGAACCCCAAACCGAAGAGTTTTTTTTTGGCAGGAAAGGAGGAGCCACTGAAGATTTAGAGCTTGGGGAGCCCCACGCATGGCGTCGATAGGACAGGCTGCCTGGCTTTGCACTGGGTATCACCCTCCCGGGCAAGCCTGCTCTAAGCAAGGCTCCCACGAAACCGTCCCCAGGTCTGAGATGGTCCCTGGTTTCGGCTCGTGATGAAGAAAGGTGCTTGTGGGAGTTTCTGGCTGCATCTCCCTCCGCACCTGGTGCGGTCTGGATCAAGGGGAGAGGGGGGACGCCTCCCTGGGACTGTCATGTCTCACGGGGTGCATCTTTGTTGGTAGTGGGGTGGCTGTCTAAGCAGCTCTGTCCTTCAGCCTGGGCTCCCCCAGAACCGGAGGTGAGGGCTCGCCACGAGGGGCCTGTGTGTTTGGGACGAAAGCCAGCCGTCTGTGAAATAAACGTGCTCGGTTCCGGAGGGGAGGGCCAGTTGCTAGGGCCATTCCAGCCACCCCGGGTCTTTCTTTAGATGAAGTACTGTAGGAAGGACCGCACTGCGTAGACCTCCTCTTGGGGATGCGAGATGTGTGCGGAAGGTGGGAGCAGCGTGCCTGCGTTTTATATTCATGGGCCCATCTGGGGAGAGGCGTCCCCAGCAATAGGCTCTCATGGACCGGACCACTCACTAAGACTTTCTTACATCTTACTGGCCTTTTAGCATCCCCGAGTGGGGTCTGGAATGTTTCATGGGGCTAACCAGCATTCTTAAGCAGATCTCGGCTAGTAGAGTTTCTGGATCTATCTAACCATGAGCATGGGCAGAGAAATCACTCTGGAATGTGCGATCACATCTAAGGAGCAAGACTTTGCCTCTGCCAGCCTGGACCACCTGGCTCCTTAATCTTTTCTTTGCAGATTGGCGGTGGTTGCTAGGCAGGAAGAGCAGATTGTGTTTTAAGACTTTTGGGAAGTAGTTCACTGCCATTTTTATGAATCGGCCCTCAAGATGTAATTGAGTGACCTGTTCTCATTTTGCAGATGTCAAGATGGATTCAATGGATTCAGGGTGTGGTGAAGGTGGCTTTCGGAAGCTTCTGGGCTGGGAAGGGGTGGGGCTGGGCTGAGAGTGGAGGGGAGGAAGGCTCTGGCTGCTAGAGCAGACTTTTAAGGCCAACTGGATGCCTCTGGAGTCTGACAGTGCGTGGCTGATGGGCAGGCCGTGACGATGACGAGGACGACGGGGTGTGACACAATGGAAATGCTCAGTTCCTGCTCGTTTCCTTCCATCTTTTGAAAACTAGCACCTGACTGCCGCGGGGAGCTCAGGGGTGTATCTGCCACTTTCTGGGGCTGGATGAGCAAATTGCGGGGGCTGAGACTCTGTCTTTTGGGGACACTAAACTGATGCTCGTCTTCAAGTGTCTTTCCCCAGGGTAGGGGAGGGCTCTCGTGATGCCTTCTGGCCTCCTTCGCCAGGCTGGTCTGCCCGCCGGGCGAGCTCTCAGACCCGAGGGGAACTGAGAAGGCCGGATCCATGCCCACGCTCTTCTGCCCCTGGCCCTCTCCCCGGAGGACAGAGCTGTGGACTGCCATCAGGAGGGGTGTGTTAATCTAAGCCCTGTCCCCAGCTGGCCTGGTGCCTGCCTTCTCAGGCTGCGAGCTTAGCCCTTGTCTAATGACAAAGCCCAGCTCTCTTGACTGGGTGTCAGCAAGGCTAAAGGATTTTTAAAAACACTTGGAAGGGGACATGCCTGGGGACGTGCCTGGAGGCTGCCAGCACCCAGTGACAGGGTGTGTGGGGGCCGAGGTGGTTGATATGGAGACAGTGGGGCGGGAAGAGGTGAGGGGAGCAGAGGGGAACCACTTTAACTGAATGTGAGAGTGTCTGCGGGTAAATGGGGATGAGGAATGGGGGTGATGCGAATTCTGGGGTGACTATGGTTTCAGCTCTCATTTTCTTGTCTGTGACCAGTGCTGCACAGTCTTGAATGACCTTCTTGACGTTTGGGGCCTGACAAGATTCTTTGTACCAACATTGGTTAAGACAGTTAAAAAAAAAACAACAAAAAACTTGGTCAATTCAGCTTGAAGAACACGGCGGAGTCCGGAGTCCCGGGCTTCGGAAGGGGAGGGAGTGGGGCTTTGCGGGGAGCTGGGATTAGGTGGGACCCGCTGTCAGAGGTGCTGGCTTAGCAGGAGGCCGGAGGACATGGGTGCAGCCTCAGTGGGTGTTCCTAAAAGAGGCCCAGGCTTCCCTTCAGGGGGGCACCTGCATTTCTAGAGCGGGCTGGGGTAGGGGGTGATGTGTTTGTTCTAAATGATGGCAGGGCCCTTCGGAAGTGAGGGTCCCGTGGCCCCACAGGCCATGTCTCCAGGGAGGAGACACCGGAGAGCTACAGTGATTTACTGCCTCTGAAATTCAGGGGAGAGGGGACTTCAAAACCTCTAGTTTACGGAAAGACTTCTCTAAAAAGGCAGTCAGTCTTCTTGGCTCCGGGAATATATTATTGACATATAAACTAGTTTCCCATCACCTACTCTCGAGGCTAACATGCTGTTTCTAATAGACGAATGTGGATTGGGGATGAATGAATTTCATGAATTTCTCTGCATTACGCGGTTTGCCTCTTCCAGGGGCATCTTGAAGGAAGGGCATTTCACAGCGCCCTTCTTGTGTAGTGGGGATGTATTTGACCAAAGGGAAAAACCCTTGCCCTATCTGGGGACCAATGAGCCTTTCTCAGATCTAGTGGGTAGAGAACAGGCCAAAAGGCAAGAAGGTTTGGGGTCTGTCCCTGACACCTGGCTTCACTCAAGCGTCTCACCAGTTCCCAAGCTGGAAAGTAGGAATCGAACCTCAGAGGGAGGTCTTCAACCTCACAGCTTCATTTCCCTCCCGAATGGGGAGAGTAACCTCTATCTTTAAGGGCTATTAAATGATAATTGTGATGATCCAGGGAAAGTTCTGGCTAAGGGCCTGGCCCACTCGAAAAATGAAAAATGATAGCTATTATTATAGCTGCTGTCGATGCTGTTGTTGCTTTGTTTCTCTACAGGTATTTGGAAGAATAAAAAATGTTTTATCAGGCAGTAGTGTAACGTAAGGAAAAGGCAGCATTAATTTTCTCTTGTCAAGAGCTGCCCGTAGAGATTCACGGTGAATCTTAGGATCCTATCACTGCACCGGGGGGGCTGCTCGATACCTCTTGACCACGTGGAAAGAGACAGGAGGTGCTTGTCGTCCCCCACCATCTAAGTGGCATGGGTGAGGTGGGGAGTGGCCTGTCGAGTGACATAGCTGGGGGAAGGCCTTGGCACGAACGAAGAGCCAGAGTTCATAAAATTATACTGTTTGCACCCATGAGTCACTGGGTATAGACCGACGGTGCCACCGAGCTGGCAATGACTTGTCCTGGGCTGCTTAGCTAGCATCTTGCTTTCTGCCTTAAGCCTCTGAGGAAGGAGGCATCGTGACCTTCATCGTGACTACGCTTCCCGCTAGGAACAGCTGTGCACCCACAGGCTTCGCCAGTGCAAAGTCTAGGATCCTAGCAATGGCATGTTTTTTAAGGAAGATGTCCTGGGTTTATTACTGGATTTCAAGTCTTTCCAAGTAAGTTCCTAGTCCCTCCCTTTGACATCAAAGGTGTTCAGCGGATTAAAGTTTCTGCCATTTGCTTTGCATTTTCCTGGGGAGGTGAATCGGACCCTCTAAGAGGAAGGGGGGTTTACCGAGGCAGGACAAAAGCTATCATTCTCGGCGTCTGGCCTCAAGACAGTGTACATTCTGGAGCCGACTGCCTGGCTCTGAGCCTGGCTTTGCCTCTCTCTGTCTGTGACCTTGACCTGCCCAGTGGATCTCAGTTCTCTCGCCTGTAAAACGGAGATGAGACTGGCACCCACAACAGGGCTGTTGTGAGGGTCAAGTGCACCATTCACAGAGAGCGCTGGGTACCAGGCTGGGCACTTGGCAAACGCTGGACAGAAGTTATCCGTTCTCAGCGGTCCTGGGGCACCTACAGAGCTCCTGAGAATACTCAGGGAACGCTCGGGACCTTGGCCGAGGGCAAGACGAAGAGTATTTCTGAATCTTACATATTTCATGCTTAGTAAGAAAATTTCCTGTTTCTATTGCTTATGATTTTGAAACCGGTGGTGGAAACTTCTTTTGCTTTTCCTGAAGGTCAGC